CATCCCACCTCATCGCCCTCATCTCTACCTAAATACTAGTTATTTGAGAATTTTTAAAAATCTTCATTTGCTTGAGAGCCAACTAGTCGACCGGATGACTAGCGAGCTCGTGAGTTTTTCACCTTCCATCAATGAAAACAATTGAATTTGGTCTAAAGCATTTGCTGCGCTTCAGTTACTCAGTATACTGCGATCGATTAAGTAGTATCTAGCGTTATGTATGTATGCATAGTGGTATATTGTGAGTCCGAGCCTTCTTCCCACCACTCGTCCTGTGCTACCTCTCACCTCACCGTGAACATATGGGCATTTGCTTGCATGTTTTGTGTGTTGTTTTGGTCTGACTACTTGCTGTTCATCCAACAAAATTGCAGTCTGACACGAAGATGTAGTGTCGGTACTTATGTATGTATGAATCTATGTATGCCCACACGCTGACCGAGCGTTCCATTGCAGTGCTATTTGCGTGTTTCTTTCTGAGTTTTTTTGTTGTGGCCTTTCGGAGGCGTGTGTGTGTATTTGCGTGCTATTATATTTATGAGATTTTGGTGTCTATGTAGATATGTTTGTGTGTGTGTGTGTGGAATAGCTCGTGTGCTTGTCTCACTTTCTGCGTCTGTCATGCTCAGCACGCTATGGCCCGTGGCATGCCTAGAAAACCAACAGCAACAAGCTCATTCCTGTCGTCGTCCCTTTGACGTCGCTTAACATTTGCCTGCTCCTTTGTCATAAACACACATACACATGTGAACTTCTACTCTATCTGTGTTGCACTACAATGTCATTGCCCTAGCCGGTTGGTCGCTTTAGTCGCCACTTACCGCTTGGTTGCCGTCTTCATGTCTCACTTCGTACAGGATATCTCTGTAGCCTAGTCAGAGCTCAGAGCTCAGAGCTCAAATACACACATATGTACACCTCGTCTCACAAATTCATTCATTATCCTGCTGCTGTGTTCTGCGTCCTTTTCGAGGCCGCCACATATGCATTTGCTTGTCAATTTTTGAGGGTTGCTTTTTCGTTGCTGCTGCCTCCCCTTACCGCACCGCACTGCAGTGCACTGGTGGCAGTGTGAAACTTCACTCACAGCAATCCAGTTTGTGTTCGGTGTTATGCTATATGCCCGCCTGTGTGTGCGTGTGAGTGTTTGTGTTCTACGGAAAATCCTATTGGAAATTTGTTGTCGAATTTTGTAGTTATTGTTGTTGCTGCTAACATTTTCTACAACCAACTACGCACTCGAATTCAATGCTGAAGCGGCGCTCTACATACGAACGAGTGCGAAAATGCTGTCGGCGGGGGTTGTCTGAGTGACTGTCGGTGGTGAATGTTATGCCAATGTGTTTATATTGCACTGACTGTTGTTGTTGTTGTTGTGGTTTGTCGTTGTTTCTGTTCTCATTGCTTTGTTGGTGGTGGTTGCCATGTTGTGGTGTTGACGTTGAGCCTCACTTTTATTGTTATTACACCGTGTGTGTGTTGTTGTTGTTGTTGCTGTTTCTGGTATTTTTTTCAGAAAACAAAAAAAAATTCTAGTTTTGTTGCTCCGGATTTCAGGCGTTTTAAATCCGCTTGACAAGGTGGAAAATGCGTCGTGCACTGCTTTGATAGTTGTCTGTCGTTTTCACCCAGTTCAGTTCAGTTCAGCTCGGTTCGGTGCGGTGCGGTTCGGTGTGATGTGGTGTGGCTCAGCTCAACTCGGCTCTACTACGTTTTGCGTCTCCATTAGTGGTTATATGCGTGCGTGCGTGCGTGCCGGCGTTCGAGTGTATACTCGTACGTGTGTGTTTCTGTTTATGTGTTGCTTATGTTTGTTGTGGCTCGTGCTGTGCTGAGTTGATTTCAAGCTTACATTATTTGGTAGTTTGCGGGATTATCAGAGCAAAAATATGCGTTTTTAATTAAAATTTGCGCATACTTTGATTGGGTGGGTCGATGGGGGTGTGATGCATGCACTTATGTGCTTAAATATACATACATAACTACATACATTATGCGATATATTATGCGTAGATTATGTGTTAATAAAAATTACGCAATTTTTAAGGAGTGTTAAAGTTTTGATAAGATATTCACTTCGAAAAAAACTAAAGAAAGGTGAACATGAAATACAAAACAAAAATTTATAAATAGAGTTAAAATGTTTTCCGAGAGCTGAGTGTGAGTAAAAATATTCTTAGATCATGTAGAGCGCATTAAAAAATATACCAAATTAAAATCAATTGATTCTGCATCATTTTTCAATTAATATCAAAGCAACTATTTATTTAATGCACAATAATTTTTAATTTAACTAATTTATCAGTTTTAATTTATTTTAATAGAAAATAATATTATTCTTACTAAAGATTCCAATTTTTTTCATTCCATTTATATTTTTGATAAGAAAAATGTATTACTTTTGATTAATTAAGTAATCTTGAAATTGGTAAATTGAAATCTTTTTATTCATTAACTTATTGAAAATATTAAGGATATTTTAAAAAGTTTATTGCAAACACGCATTGGCAGCCAGTGCTTGTTCCGGTTAGTAGATGATAGATATATTCATACATATGTATGTCTTTTTAAATTAATAAAGATATAAATAAGTGAAAATATTTCACTAAATTAAACCTAAAGACATATATAATTAAATAGTCAAATAGACAAATTCATAAAAAAATAAACAAATATATAAATAAAGTGATTAATAAATTAGATAAATAAATAAATAAATAAATATATAAAGAGATAAATAAATGAATAAATAAATAATTAATTAATTAATTAATAAATAAATGAATGAATTATAAAATAAATAAATAATAAATATATAAATAAACTAATAATAAAATAAATAAACAAATAGATTTATAGATAAATAAATAAATAAATAAGTAAATAAATAAATAAATAATTAATTAATTAATTAATTAATTAATGAATAATAAAATAAATAAATAAATGAGTAAATAGATAAATAAATAAATTAATTAGTTAATTAATAAATAAGTGAATAATAAAAAAATAAATAAATAAATAAATAAATAAATAAATAAATAAATAAATAAATAAATAAATAAATAAATAAATAAATAAATAAATAAATAAATAAATAGATAAGTAAATAAATATATAAATAAATAAATAAATAAATTAAGCAATTAATAAATAAATAAGTGATTAATAAAAAAAAAAAAAAGGTAAATAAATAAATAAACAAATAAAAAAATAAATAAGTAAATAAATAAATAATTGATCAAAAATAAATAAATGAATAAATGTATAATGAAATAATGAAATGAATAAACAAATAGATAAATAAATAAATAACTAAGTAAACAAATAAATAAAAAAGAGGAAAAAAATAATTAGTAAATAACTAACGAGGTAATAAAATAAATAAATAAAAAAGTAAGTAAATATTGTAAATGTATAAATAAATAATAAAATAAAAATAAAAAATTGAAAAGGAAATAAATAAAAAATAATAAAATAAACAAAAAAAAAAAACAATTAAATAAATGAATTATTGGATAAAAAAGTTAGTAAGATCATAATACATTTAGTTAGTTAATTAGCGCTTTGTAAATGCTGAAGCGAGCCGCAGCCAATTTGTGGTTTGCGTCTTGATATTTTTTTTAATAAATGGAAGGATCTTTAGCCTACGATAAGTCCGAAGGATTTTCATAAGGATTATCTGTTTTCTATAATTTTGACTGCCTGGTGGTTTCACTAAAATCAGTTTATTTGCCAAATATCGGAACGCATCAAAAAAGCACGTCGTGGCTGTCTATAGCTAAGATACTTTAGTTAAAGGTGGATAAAGAAAAAGTTCACGAGAACTTATCTCGTTAAAAGAATAAAATATATCCTATACTATGGGTCTTCTTACAGGACATCTACAAATAGGTGGGTTTGTGGAAGCTTTTCGGTGCGGTAAACTCTAGAAACCCGAACGAAATAAGTGGAATAAAGATATGCCGGGTTCCCACTTCAAACAGTGCTTTAATTAACAGGCGACCACTCTACGTATGCTGATACCTGTGGTTATCTAACCTAACCAAATGATATGCATTAAAGGGCAGAGGGTTATAATTTGATGACTACATTGAAGAAGTAGAGCAGAGTGTCGGAGATTTTTCTCAAAGAAAGAAAGAAAGAAAGAAGAATGTTCTCCAAATTTTTTGTACCAAATCTCATTTCTCCAATTCAATTAAAAGTGCAATCTTTTAAAAAATCTGTAAAAGAGTCGAAGAGTATATTTTGGGATTTCCGTAAGCAGTTATATTGAAACTAATTTTAGTCAATTGGTGACTCTGAGTAGTTTCGATTCCAGTAATCAAAAGGTTCCTGAAATGGCTTTTTGGTATTTTAGGCAGGTCCTCAAGGCATTCCAATATCAGAGGAAGCTACAAATTATCAAGTCTGTTATATTGCTTCCTATTGTTTTATTCATATTTACTGTCGAGTTCAGCAGGAGTTTCCGAGTATGATTTTTGATTCGTACTGAGATTTGATTTGAGATTTAATTTCGGTTTTAATACTATAAGTCAAGTGGGAAATTTCGGGGTATTAAACTATGAACCAAAAGGCGAGTGGTTAGTAGTGCGTATTATCATGCGAAAGGTCATTGGTTCGAACAACCGAATGTAAAGAAAGTTAAAGAAAATTAAATTAAAAAACTAATTAAAAAACGGTTTGAGAAATAAAAATATTTTTAAAGTTTCTTATTCATGCAAATTAAGAACGCCGATGAAAATTATTCTTACATGAGGTATCATATTAAAAAATTCTTTTGCTCTCATATAAACACTCAATTCCAAGAAAGTAAATATTTTTGTGTTAATTAAACTGTGAAGCTCACTCTCTAATAATAAACATACCAAGAAAAATTACAAAAAAAGAGAAACATAAAAATAAGAAGAATACACGCGAGTAATCGCCTTAAAGTATCTAACAAATTCCCGTAGAAAGAAAAATCTAATTCTTTTGATTTCTCTTTCATTTCATTTCAGCCAACGGGAAAACTTCGTCTATGCCACGTGCTGCATACGCGAATAAACAGACAAACAAAGGAACAAACAGACAGATCGACATACCAATCATCATGCATTCACCTGGAAAATACGCACTAATTTTCAAATAGTTGGCAATAAAATCGCTGAGTGCGAGGAATGCAATCGCTGCGCAAGCCAAATTAGTTCGCAGTGTTTTCTCGCATAATACGCCAGCAGTCAGTGGTGGCAGGAGCTGAATCGAGGATACTACATATACTCGTACATACATATATATTACATACATACACTCCACGTCTTACCCGCAGCAGCCACCAGTCCACGACGTCTATTACTTTTATCTTTACTCTAGTTAAAAGTGTTTAGTTACCACACGCGCACAACGGAAAGTTGCTCCTTTGGCAAGGACGTTGGTTATTTCGCATGGCGTACAAACGTAGCTCGTAAAGTAAGTATTTTTTACGATTTTTAATTTCACTTTATTCAACACCCTCCAACTTTTGCCGCTACCACTTACTTATTACGCTGCTCGCAGTCGCATTTATTTGCACCTCTAGCGCACCCTACACTCTAGTACCCCCTCCAACTGCTCTCTATCTCTCTGCGCTTCCAATTCTCTTGCATTTTTTCTGCGCCTCGTTTAGAGAAGTAAAAATGCGTATATTTTAAGTTTAATGAACTGTATAAAAAATGCTAAAGAATGAAAGGTACTTGTAGTGGGGAGAGTGGATGAAAAAAAAGTTGCACTCTCTTAGTGAACGCAAAGAAAAAATAAAAATAAAACAAAATAAATAAAAATAAAAAGTGATGAAAATGTGGAAAAAAATTAGAAATAACTTTGCATTATTAAAAGTTCTGGTCAGCGCTGGTGCTGTTGATGAGGGCACAAAAACTTTTAATCATTGACATCTCCCGCTCTGTGTGAGGGGAGAGCATGAAGAGTGACAGTGTTTTGCGGTCGCATAGTGAGGGAGTGAGTGAGTGAGTCAGTGAGTTACAGTACTAAGTGTCTTTTGAAGAGATGGCGCACTTTGATGCAAAAGTATTTTTCCACATTATAATGCTAAATACCGATGTTAAATAGTAGTTTAATGGCCTCTCTCTCTCTCTCTTTCTCCCTTTTTTCAAACAGCAAATTGTGACTGCTTTTTAAACTTTGAACTCTCATTTTACTGTGCTTTTAAGCTAATTAAAATATGTATGCAAATTGCAAAATGTCAGCTGCGGGCGAGAGAGTTTGTGTATTTTTTAGCGAGTGTCGTTAATTTCAATTTCATTCGTGCACAAAATGTGTGTCTGTGGCTCTTAGGGGGTTTATATAGGGTAGGTTAAATATCTATTGGTCCTAATTGGAGTTAATATTGACCTGTCTTCAAAGCTTTTCGCGAAGTTCAAGAGCAAACTCGGAAGGAGTTCCAACGGCCGAAAATTCTGGAGCTGACGCAGACATACCTCTCTTCCTGGGCTTGGCCTTCGCCAGTTAGTTCAATATCAGTTGACGTGTAAAAACAACTAGAAATGTAACAAGACAGATCGAATAGGACGAAGTGAGGTCACTGGTGATACACCTTGTAACGTTATTAGAGACTGGACACACCGTTCTTTACTGAACGTCACTCGATTTCACTGCCATGATATATGCTAAGTACTAGCCTGGGTCCAAGACAATCGAGGTACAAGCAGCGATGATCGTTGCTTAGGCTGCAGCCGCATGGATGATGGAGACAAAAGTAATTACTTTGATTATATAAGAAATTATTGATAAGCTGTGCTTCCGCACGTATACTAAGCTTTCGAAACTCGTGACCTTGTTGGCCGGATACCATTTGTATTGCCCCGGACAATGGAAATTACTCGAAAAAGAAAAGGCTGACGAGTTGGTCAAGCCAAAGGTATTATCTTCCTTCATGAATCCGAAGTGGAGCTCATACGAAGCCTACTAGGAACTGTCAGTGGAGAACGCAACTTGCAATTCCAGGGAATAACTCCAATCAGATGGAAATCCATAACCATAACATAATGTAAGACAGCGTAGCAGTATTGGGGCAAGTAAAGCAGGATAAGAACAAAGGGTTTACAAAATGGCTCTAAGAAGATTTTATAAGGATCTAGAACCACAATAACGTGATATTGATGAGGATGCATAAAAAATGGGGTTGCACGATTAAAGTAAGCGTCTGAACATTCCTTAGGCATCTGTTTAAAAGTGGGGGTGCTGCTGCGCAAATAGACTAGGTGGTCATTACTCTTTAAGTTCTTAGGAGGTTACGAGGATCTTCTTTCTGTTTCATAGGGAAGAGATCAGGCTTCTTCTGAAAGCGGGGAAGTACTACTCTTCAACTTTAAGAACTTGCAGGTACATATTAAGTGGCGGCAATGACCTACTGTCACGCTTTTACGAATATACAAGATTTGGGAAGGTCTTCTCTGCTTCTAGAAAGGCTCAACTTGTCGTGCAAGAATCTACTTTTATTCTAGGAAGGCCGAGGTCTCTATCAGCAGACTTATATTTAGAGTTGGCGACATCTACTCTTCCTCTATGAAGGCTGAAGTGAGATTCTACTCACTATCCTTACGAAGGCTGAGTTGGGGTACCAATTCTCACCTTTGTGAAGATACAAATGATAAGAGTGGAATAAAGATATTACCTTCCCTCTAGGGAGGCTGAGATGTGGTACTATTTATTGCCTTTATATGCATAAAATTAGTATTAAGAGCTGGCGATATCTATTCTCCCTCTAGGCAGACCGAAGTAAGATACTACTTACTGCCCGTACGACGACTGAGAGGGCATACTACTGCCCCATTTACGGACAAACAAGTAATAAAAAAGTTTCTATTTTCTCTCTTTTCGAGACTAAGTTATGTAACTTTTCCTATGTGGAAGTCTTTATATGTGGCGTGGGTCTAATTCTGGAAATTAGAAATGAGGTTCTACTCATCTATGCTTGAAAACCAATGCGAAGATATACGACGGCCTTTACATAATCTTTTTTATATTCATCAAAGAGTTCGCTAGCTGCAGAACTAATCTCTGCAATAGTACGGCGTTACTCATTTCTCCTTTATTTAATAGCTCCTCAATGAGCGCCATGATTGTTATAAAACCACTCATCCACTCTGTTTGCCAACCCATGCTTCCGAGCAATACATTCAAAATCGATTGCCGACCTTTTATCAGCTTATCGTTTCAAATAAATTCTGAATTCCAAATTTAATAATTCAAAATATTCAAATACATATATAAATATTTAATTTATTTCCATTTTCTCGCTCAATAAATAAATATCGCCAAACAAATGTCGGATGTTTTGCTAATATACTTACGAATATATGTATATTTATGTATAAACATATAGTATGTGTATGTATGTATATACTCGTATATATATATTTGTCCAAAAATTTACTAAAAACACACGCCGAATATACAAAACAAACAACGAAATAGAGAAGAGTATGCGCGTGTAGTAGTGTAGTGTCATACTAAATTAAGCTCGCATGCATTTCATATCCACTCAACTTTTAACTGTAAATGCCACATTTATGCTCAATGCAATAACGGTGAAAAATTGCCAAAAAATTGCTGAAATATGTCACAGAAACGCATAACTTTCAAAGGAGCAATTGTGCAACAAGGGGGAAAAGTGTAGGTGGAGTGCCAAAAAAAAAAAACCAAAAATGGCAAAAATCGAGCGCCCAAAAGCAGGCTAGCCAAAAGTTAAAATTGAGTGCTCGGCCACCACTCACGTCCGTATTTTTTGAGTATTATTTCTGTTTTTTATTTTCTTTGTTTTTTTTTTTTGTTGGTATACTATGTGGCACGTTTGTGGTGTAGTTACGCAATATAGCCGTACATTCATATGTATGTGTTTACGTAGAAATGTGCGGGTGTACATGTGTGCAGTAGTCGCCGTTGGCTGATTTTATTTTTTAGTACACACACATACATATGTTTTTTACGATGGCTGCGTACACACACAGAGGCGCGTCAGATAAATATTTCGTTTGTTAATTTTTATTCTTTTCAATTTGTTTGGACAGTTATGTCTTTGTTATACGCACATCTGTTTGTCTGTAGGTATTTTGGAATTTTTATTTTCATCAGTATATGAATATATTACGAGCAGATCTGTTGGCGTATCCATATCCGCGTATGGTAGTAAAATGTTTGCAATTTATTGTTGCATTGTTGCCTTGCCACATGCGAGTGCTGGACAAGTTTGTTGTGCCTCTTTGGTATCACTCAATTTTCGAGTGTTTCTTACTTTTGTATTTTATATTTTTTATTTCTTCTTTATATTTCTGTTTATATTTGTTTTGCTTTTTCGTTGCTATTTTGGCTCTGTGCAACTACTTCATTTTATGGCTAATTTTTTAATTGCTACCATTTTTACTGTTAGATAGTTTTTCGAATTTTTCAAGTTCGCCTTTGATAGCTCTTCAAAGTGTTGAGGGGAAGCCAGAGAGAGAGAGAGAAGGGGACAGAGAGAGTTGTTGCTAAACTTGAAAGTGTATTTTGATTTGCAATTAGTTCTGAAATGTTTCCGGCATAAAACTATGTAAGAGTTCGAATTTGCTTTGTGGTGGCGAGTGGAGTTTAAAGTTAGATTGAAGAACCTTTTTTGTTTTAATTGGCGCAGGCGCTGCTTAGACAATTATAGTGAGTCATTTTCTTCACTATTCGTGGCCAAGGCACTCTCCGTCCGATCTTTACTATGGAGTCGAAGTTTCCGGGACTCCGCATCAAATAGCAGAATGGTTGATGAGATTTGTAGAGTTCGCCGGGAGAGCAGTATGGCAGCTTGCTTGAAAGAGGGAGTTTGAGAGCCTGACCGCAAGCGTCCGCATTTAAATCATTAAATCGGTTTTTTATGCTCAACGGTGTAACCCAACTATGTGTTTGCGAACAGTTCCCTCGATTGGTGATTAATTTGCTGTAGTTTATTCTAACCTCCGTAAAGTTGGAGATTGGGATATCGTTAAAAATGTGATATCTCAATGGGCTGAATACCGAGCACTCAGCAAGTCGGTGGAGTCAGCGGAAGCCAGCTGCTCCGTCTTTTTTTATTGTCTCCTACATACTTGTGACCGAGAACTTAAATTTTTAGTTACACAAAACCGAATGCATTGACAATTTGTGGATGACAGAAGATCCTTAGACTTTCTCCTCATTCCTTACCAGATCTCTTAGCCTAGCTTCCTTATATAGTCTGCAGAAATTGGAACTAACAGCGAAGTATGTGAAGCTGGATCTATCAATAACGGCACGAAGAGATCCTTCTCGTTTCTGGCGGTGCTTTTGGTGTCGCTCAGTCTCAGAGAAAGCGTGTGTGTTTTTCCAAGATTTTGCATATAGTGAATAACTGCTCAGTGTTACCAAGTTGTTTTACAGTTCTTCCACTCACTGTTTTTGCTTTTAATTTTTATTTAACCCTTTTGTGCACC